GGACATACCACAAAAAATGGCCTCCTCTTTTCCCCACCCCCATAGCTACTGTTTTTTTTTGGATGGGGGGGTGCCACTATTCTAGCCTCCTGCTAAAATTTGCTGATGGGATTGTGAGGATTTGCAGCAAGGGGACGAGCTATATGGATGACTTGGTTGGTATAGTGTACACACTAGGTTAAGTACTTAAGTACTTTGTCTGTATTTACAGATGCCATTTTATTGTCTCTCCAGTACATATCTTTTCACATTCTTGGTGCAGTTAAGAATAACAAATGTACTGGAATAGCATTTGTTTAAAACAAGCAACAGCACTGCACTAAGCAGCCATTTCACAGGGCTAAGTTAAATTGTCTGATATGTGATACGCTGGTATTTCTAGAGAACGATGAAGCATGACCTAATCTTCCTGGGAATGACACAGTGATATGTGAATTTGAATATTTAATAAAATAGGGAATTATAGGCTCTAGTTCCTTAGACTTGAATCCTTATGAGTCTAGGCCAGTATATAATAAATATCCTTTGTATTCTACATTGACATTGAAATTCTGTGACCTGATGTAATTTAGGAATTGCTGTGTGGATCACATGAAGGTAGCCAAGTAGTCTAAAAGATCTCGTTAGTCCATGAAGAATGCAGGCTGTTAACATATTTGGCGTTTCATGTGGTGCTGGTATGGGAGGTGTGCCATATTCAGAACGTTAAGTTCTGCAGGTTTGCCTTTCTCATTGTATCACTAGATTTTGAGGCGTAAAAGGTTTTTTTTCTGGCCAAAAATATGCACGTAAATTCTCAAGGTCACATCCTCTGAGACTAGAGCAGGACATATCTAGAGCAAAATGTTGCTATTTATACACCTACATGTGTAAAGGGCCTCTTTTTCTACATCCCAATTTTATGTTGGCTTGTTATAAAGAGATTTTCTTCTCTGAATATGTGCCCCTGAAGTTGGATGCAAGATTTCCACGATCATGTTTTAGTGTTTAATGTACAGTAATGCAAACTTCTCACGAAGGAGACCTGATGGAACTGGACCTTGCTGGTGAACTGAAATTAGCTTGCTGTGAATTTCAACCATACAAAAGCCTCCAGGACAGCCGTTGTTCATAGAATATTATTTTCCTTATTATCATAGAAAATGAGGGATGGAAGGACCCCAGGAGGTTGCATCTAGTCCAACCCCCTGCGCGAAGCAGGACCATCCCGTTAGATCATCCAAGCCAAGGCTTTGTCTAGCTGGGTCTTAACCTCCCAGGATGAAGAGTCCATCACCTCTCTGGGTGACCTGTTCCAGTGTTTTCTACCCTCCTGATGAGAGAGTTCTTCCTAATATCTAACCTAAACTTCCTTTGCTGCAACTTGAAACCATAGTTCCTTGTTCTGTCATCTGCCACCACTGTGACATATTTAGCCCCATCCTTTTTGGACCCCTTTCTGGTAGCTGAAGTTTGCTATTAATCCCCCCTCAGTCTTCTCTTCTCCAGGCTAAATAAGCCCAGTTCCTTTGGCCTCTCTTCAGAAGTCATGTGCTCCAGTTCCCTAACCATTTTTGTTGCTCTCCACTGGACTCTCTCTAATTTGTCTACGTCCTTTCTGTAGTAGGGGACCCAAAACTGGACACAGGACTCCAGTGCCAAATGGAATAGAGGGGAATAATCACTTCCCTTGATTTCCTGGCAATGTTCCTAATGCAGCCCAAAATGCCATTAGCCTTCTTTGCAACAAGACCACACCGTTGGCTCAGATTCAGCTTATTGTTGACTGTAACCCCCAGGTCCTTTTTTGCAGAGCTGTTGCTTAGCCAGTCAGTCAGTGCCTGGTGCATGGGATTGTTCCATCCTAAGTGCAGGACTTTGCATTTGTCCTTATTGAAGCTCATTGAGATTTCTTTTGGTTTAATCCTGCAATTTGTTGAGGTTTCTCTGAATCCTAGCCCTACCTTCCAGTGTATCCACTACTCTCCTTCCCCCCCCCCAGCTTGGGATCATCTGCAAACTTGCTGAGGGTGCACTACATCCCATCTTCCAGGTTGTTGATGAAGACATTGAACAAAACCAGCCCCAGGACTGACCCCTGGGGCACTCCACTTGATACTGGCAGCCAACTAGACATTGAGCCATGGATTACTACCTTGTGAGCCCAATGATTCAGCCAGTTTTCTATCCACTTTACAGTCCATTTATCCAACCCCTATTTCCTTAGCTTGCTTGCAAGAATGTTGTGGGAGACCATATCAAAAGCCTTGTTAAAGTCAAGGTATATCATGTTCACAGCTCTTCCTGCAGAGCCAGAGCCAGTCCTCTTTATTGTAGGAGGTATCAGATTGGTCAGGCATAATCTGCCTTTGGTGAACCCATGCTGACTGTTTCTAATCACCTTCTCCTTCAAGTGCTTATGAGATTCCCTGAGGACCTGCATCATGATTTGTCCAGGGACTGAGGTGAGGCTGACCTGTCTGCAGTTCCCTGGATCCCCTTCCTTCCCTTTCTTAAAGATGGGCACAAGGTTTGTCCTTTTCCAGTTGTCCAGGACCTCTCCCACTTGGCATGAGTTTTCAGAGATGATGGCTAGAGGCTCTGCAATCACATCAGCAAGTATCTGATGTTTACCAGTTTAGTTTATCGGTGGACTTGGTTGCTGCTGCTTACTGACTGTGGTTCTCAGGAATGGATCAAAATGATATGGAATATTCCTTTAAAATACCATTTAGTTAGAGTAATTTGTTTTGTGATGGTATGTACTGCCTTCCATTTCAAAGGATCGAAATGTACTTCACTATCCAGACACAGCTGGAGCTGCCTCTGGATGAAATTCATTGCTTGTGCAACAGCAGCACTTAGAGCTAGTCAGAAAACTTCTGCCTTTATTAAGTTACTTAAAAAAAAAAAAAAAATCCTGGAACTGTTTGTTTCAAAACAGCTGGAGCTTGACAACCTTTTGCTAAACACAAGGCCTGGCTCTGAGGGAACCCTTTTTCTATTCTGAATCAATCTGCTACAGGATCAGGGACTGAGCTATAACACCTCTGGGATATGATCACGCTTAGTGGATCTGCCCTAGAAACAAGTAACCTGGGAACCCCTAGGCCCTGTTATAGGGGCAGATTGTGTGGCACAGTGGGGCAAGAACCCTGGTGTCTGGAATAACACTTGTAATCCCCTCATGACCCAGGGGTGGGGTTAAGCATCGAGGGATGGGGCCACTCCAAGCCCAGGAAAGCTAGACCCAGAGGGCACATCTACATGTGCAATAACGTGCTTTACTTAGTGTGCATTAAATCTAGTACCTTCTTTGTGAAGTTCTAGAAAAATGTGCATTAGCTTATCATAACACTAATTAACTAAAGAGTAGGGTTTTTAGTGACACTAATGCACATTAGCTTATTTTAATGTGCATTAACTAAAGAGCACTTTTTTGTAGTGATGCTTTGCTATTGCGCATGTGTAGACATGCCCAGAGAGCTTTGCAGGTTACTAGCAGGGAACGTGGGAAAGAAGAGCTGCAAGGGTGAGCCATTTTGCCCAGAGAAGGGAGGAGGCCTTGCTCCTTGATATGTTGCATGCACCATTGAAAGAGGCCCCAAGTAGATTGTGGAGGAGCCTGGTCTGAGTGCAGCTGGCAGAAGGATTGGCTTCCCCACTGAAGAGACCCCAACAGAGAGGGACTTTGGCTGCTGCGACACAGCAGGGCCTGAGTGAGTTACGCTGAAAAGGCTGCAGAAGTGATGCAGTCAGTGTAACTGCTGAGCAGTGAAATTCCTTGTGCTATCGGGAATAGCTGGGGCTGTGCACAAGGTGAAGAGTTTCTCCCTGAAGGGTCCTTGTAAGACTGGAGTTGGCGTTTTAGGTTGCACTTTTGAGAGGGGTCCTTTGGTGATCAGGTTTCCATGCTTTGCTGTGTGAATGCTTCTGTGTGTAAATAATATGTCACACTTGTTTGTACCCTCTTGTTAAACTGTGATACTTTTGGGGAAACAGTGTTGCACCCCCTTGCAAGAAGGGGCACAGACATAGATTTCATGGACATTAGGGCTGGAAGGGACCTCGGAAGATCATCGACTCCAGCCCCCTGCCCCAGGGGCACGAAGTCAGCTAGGGTCAAAGGATCCCAGCAAGATCTGTGTCCAAATGTTTCTTGAATAAGTCTAAAGTAGGTGCACCTCTGAAGGGAGTCTATTCCAGGCCTTGGGGGCTCGGACAGTAAAGAAGTTCTTCCTTATGTCCAGCCTAAAATGGTCTTGGAGGAATTTGTGACCATTGGTCCTTGTTATCCCTTGGGGCGCTCTGGTGAATAGGCTTTCCCCCAGATCCTGATGCATACCCCTTATGTCAGGGGTGGGCAAAATGTGGCTCGGGCCGGATGCGGCCCACTAGGCCATTCTATCTGGCTCACGGGGCACCCAAAAAATTTAGAAAATTAATATTTATCTGCCCCTGGCTGTCTGTCATGCAGCCCTCAATAGCTTGCCAAAACTCAGTAAGTGGCCCTCTGCCCAAAATAACTGCTTGCCCCTGCCTGACGTACTTACATAAGGCTGATACACACCCCTTACACCCTAATGTAAGACTTATATAAAGCTGCAAACATTTAAAGCATCAAGACCATTTTTCTCAGGGGCACCAGCCCCATGTTTCCAGCCAGCGCAACTGTGCCAGCGTCGAGCAAGAAGAAAAAACAACTGCAAAAATCTTCCTCTTCCTATAACAGCTCGGCGCCGCCCTCCACACCACAGGGCCTCCCCCTCCAGCCCATGCTGGTGGGAGGGGCGGAGGCTCTGGGCCCGCCCCCGGGCGCGTGATGACGCTCCTCTCCCTCGGGCAGGGCAAGCCCCGCCCCTCCGTGACGCCACGCGCGCCATGCTAGCTGAGGGCAGGGCGCGGCGCGTGCGCAGTCGGGCGGGCGGGCGGCGGGGCCGCTCCATTGTGCGGCGGCGACGGAGGCGGC